TTTCTTATCCCAATAAACATTAAAAAAAAATATTTAAGGTTGCCAATTGTTTTGTTTCATCTTTTGTTATTTTCCTATTGTTTTCTTTTTTTCTCTGGACTAAAGTAGAAATGTATTGAAAATCTAAATATGATTTTAAAACTTTCACATTTGGATATATATAAATACGAGAAATTAAGTGGTCTATTTTCATAACCAGAATACCAATTCATACATATATTGAAATTTTGAGTTTCCACATGATGTTTAATTTTATATAGGCTGTGTTTTTTGTTCGTGTTATGAGATCGAGATGTGTTTGTTTATTAAATTTTTGAGTGTTCTTAATGTTTTTTGTTTTAACATCGTTTTTGTCATTGACATTGTTTCAATAAAACTAGGGGTTATAATACCATAGGTACTCCACATGTTAAAGGTTTAGTAAAATTTAGCTGAGCCCTTCAGTAGTTTAACAATGTAATATTTTCAAATCACCCCACCCCTCTTTACTTCAAATATGTATTTTTCTAGATTTCGATGTGTTGTTTTAAAAAGTGATCATTCTACTGCACTGGTAAATAGTCGCCTCGGCACTTGGATGGTCTCGTTGAACATTTATGCACTATGTAATTGTCCGTCCCAAGATTTAATTGGACGACCATATAATATAGGTTGAACTTGGTATTTTATTGATTTGAAGTTATTTTTAAGGAATTCACACCTCCAAATTCTCTTTGAAAAATGTTGGTTGAGATATTTTTATTTTCTTCTGAACTTTGATTATTATTATTTTAAATTCAAACAACTTATTTACACTCAAAATCGTGTAAATTGGTTCATTTCCTTAAAATATTGCTCTTTCATACATAATTATTTGACTCAATTTATAAAAATTTTTTAAAAACTATTCGATATGCATGCACGTCCTAGAATTCAAAGAAGAAAGTGATTGATCTATGAAGAAATAGGCACACAGGAAAAGGATGGTGGTTGGACTTGTAGGGTATCCTTGTCCATGGAGGACACAACAATGGATTTCATGTGGGACTAAGTCATACTAACTAAAGAGAAAATTTTCATTAGGCACAAAATAATTTTTATACAAATATAAAAACTAAAATAGTAGACTCTGTAAAGAAACTTTATATAAATATAATATAATCCATTAACTAATTTATATTTTTTTTTAAAAAAATTTTCTTTTTTTTTTTTCATCTTATATTTTCTTAAAGAAATTATTTTCCAAACTCTGATACCCTCTAATAAATAGTTTTGCTATTCTAGTAAAATCGTAGACTTAGTCTACTAAGAACCATTGAGATCTGGACTCTTGCCAATTTTCATATAGAATTTTTATTGATAGAGAATCTCATGTTTTGTGGTTTGTTTTTGTAATTTATTAAAAAAATTGAAGATCAATCCCTAATCCCTAATAGCTACTTAGAATTACTTAGCTAATTTTTTCTAATATTTTTTCCTAAAGGGAATGTGTGCTTAGAGTTGGATGCAACTGGTAAGCCAAGAAAGCAACTCCCGCAATCCATGGCTGGCAAAAGTCAAGTTTCCAAACCTAATTTTCTAAATTTCAGCCCCTAATTTTACAAGTGAGAATTTAAATTAAAAAGCCCATTTAGGCTCTGATTATATAATTTCCTAAGATATGTTAACCGTATTTCTAAAAAGGTATGTTCACTAAAATAACTGATTATCAGTAAAGTCTACTGGATAAATCGACTATTTCTTTCACCATTTTTTTTTTTTTTTTTTTTTTTCTTTTTTTTGCATTTTTCATATGGGTTAAAGTAATAATTCTGGAAGGTTAAAATAAATCATCAGTACAACCGACATGCACACTCTTTTCATTTAAAAGCAAAAGTTAAACAACAACGGTGATCTGTACTAAATATATTTCTATAATTCTTTAATATTATCACACCATAGAAAGCCTAACATACGCTTTGACACTCGATTCTACCGTAGCACTTGTATGTTGGACTTATGTACGTAATGTTTTGATTGTAAGAGATAAATTCCAGCTAAAAATGTTAATTAAACTATATTAGTAATTCCTTTAACTTCAAGTTAACTATAGACATTTGGTTTTTTTTCAGTCCATCTTTCTTTTTTTCTTTTGACAGCAAGTATAGATATATTATTCCATAGTTTATGAATGAAGTCAAAGAGAATAATTGTTAAAAGCTATGTTCACACGTCTGCGAATGGAAATTTGGTTAAGAAGTAGCAGAGAACAGAATTTCAAGAAACAATAAGGTAGCACAAATGATTTGACTTTTTTGCTGGAAATATTTTTAATTCGGATTCCACCATCATTTTGTTTTTTGTTTAAGACTACAAGAAATCTCCACTACAAGTAATCGATTTGTTTAATAAATAATCTCTTACATACAGAACCTTATTGAATTGAATAATTACATTTTTTCCTCTTTTGTTACCAATCCAGCGTGAAATAATATAACAATATACATTTATAACTATTAATGAATGAAATGAGAAGGTTAGCAGAATATAGCTTCTTCATTTTCCTTTTTCTTTTCTTAAATTTTACTGAAGTAACTTTTTTAAGAAAATACCCCATTTCTTCTGTATCACTCTGTTTCCTAGTTCTTTAAGGAAAGAAAAATCCAAATAACTCGTTCTGATTTTTGAAACCTACCCCATATATTCAAAAGAGCACTGATTATTCCGTGCTATTTTTAATTTATGCACAGGAATGATCATTAATATATAACCAATTGTGTTTGCTACCCTGAGGAAGAGCCAACATAATGCTCTATTGATCATATGGTTTTACCCATTTATACGTGTAACCCATATGGAGGTAGTGAGTTATATAGTAACCATAATAACAGGTTGGATGAAGTGAACACCACAATGAGGTTTGAGGCTGCAAAATACTGAAACTGTCAGTTAGATTACGTGAAATTGTTAAAGTGTCCCATTGATGGAGAACAACGTATGATTGCAAACAGTATTGATACAAAGTAGAACACTGAACCCAGTTCTGCATCAGTAAACATGGCCAAAGATGGATTCGGGGGTGACAATCATCAAGAGGTTATACTTGATGTAAATGTGAAACATTAAGTATTGTTTTATCCAGCTATTGATATTGTCTTTCATGTATTATATAGCATTAAAAGACATTCAATTTACCACTCGAATTTGATCATGATTTTAATCATAGGTAACGGATGAACCATGAGACATTATAAGTTTGATGTCTCAACCTGGGTTTTAAGAGGGTTTCAGATCTTAGCAAGACATTTTTTTATGATATCTTTAGCCCATTAGAACTTTTAATTTGTTATCTTATAAAAAGACTACCATCAACTCATGTTTTTCAAAAGTTAATAGATGAAGTGGATTTCCGGTATCGACATGGACCGTCAATTACACCCCAGAGAATAATAGACATTTGAAAGAAACGGGTTTGTTGTTTTATCAAGGTTTAACAAGTATAGAGGTGAAAGAATGAGGTGGGGCATCAACGCTTTTTGCAGGAAAATCAGTGGGCATCATACATGGCCTTTAAGCAGAATAACTACATGCAAAAAAACTAAGATTCCAAATGGGCATCATGTTTTGCATCATATATCAATGAATCAAAATGGTAGTTGACATTATTAGAAGTATGAAACTATTATACACAAACACAATTGCTCCTTGATCAATGATATTTAATCTTTAGTTTTGTTCTTTATATTTTTTCTTCGGAAGTGAATGGATCGTCGATAAATGAATCAACAAATCTACATAACCATTCATTTCTAGCACTAACTGCTTTCACATTAGTTAACACAAGTGGAGAAGTTTTGTAAAGCGATATCAAGTCATTGAGACATCTGTTTCTCCTGGGGCTATGCCCTCTCAGTCTGCTAATACCCGACGCACCAATCTCATAGATTTTGCCTGCAAAATTCAAGTATAAGTTTTAATAATACAATGAGACCCAAACCCCGAGAGAACTAGTGGATCATTTATCTTTTAGCTTCTCACTATCTCAGTAAACGGAGCACACGAAGTGGGGGTCTCACCGCCAGCAAGGGGTAAAATTAGTCCATTAAACTATTTTTCTCTTTTCATCTTATTTCCGTTTTTAAAAAGTAGCCCATACTTGGAAATGCACGAAGGGAGGATTATTCTTTGCCAAAGGCCTACATAATTCATGGTATTAGGGCTATTATTTTAATTTACATGATTATCTGATGAGACCTGTAATCAGATTTTAGCCGTTCTTCTAATTTTAAATGCTTCTTATTTTTAATACCCAGATGCATATTGATTCTCCGATTCTCTACAAGTTGGCAATATAGGAGCGATGCCATGATTTATTCATATAGTTTTTTTAAAAAATTTAATGTTTGTGATAATGACATTGGAAGCAAGTCTGTGCCCTAGAACGCTAACACTGAAGTACAATTATTAACTACAAGTTTACAACACCCCAGCAACTTAAAGAAGAACTACAAGAAAGTTAAAAAAAAAATGTATTCACATCAGAAATTTCCATAGAAAAAACTTCATATCAATTTGAGATGGACATTTGCATTCCTTGATATTCTTTCGTGCTGTGGACCTGTTGTTTATTTGCGTGTGTTTCATGTTTAATGATATGCCCTTAAAAACAATTTCCATGTCCTATTTTCAAGGCGGCGATTGCTTGACATTTTTCCATCATGAGCAAAATTTTGTAGCCCGATAGCAATGCATGAAAAAGATTTTAATTTAATTGGAAAAAATTACAGCACGTAACTTCCACACCATCAAATGCTTTCTTCATTCAAACTTTAGTTTACTCCTGGTAGATTGCAAAAAAAAACAAAAAATTACCTTTCACACCATATTGGAAGGAGCACACTGTACATTGAAACGAAAAGGCATTTGCAATGGTCCTTCACAAGTCTGTTGAAGGAAAAAAATTTTAAAATTAAGAAAAAGAAATAATGAGAATACGAAAAAGAATTAAGTGATAAGAGCAAATTTAAAGTTCTTGAGGGTTTAATTAATTTTATCAATATATATTACCCTCTCCCTGAAACTAGCCCTGATTGATGGAGACATCTCTTGATTCTAATAAAATCCAAGTTATTTCCTGTGAAAGAATGCAAGCCTTTTGAGAGAAACCATGCTATAATGCCCATCCAACCAACAACAGACCACCATCCTCCATACCTGTAATATGCAACATTATTTTGCTGTAGTATACAAAGTGAAATCAGTCAGGTACAATATGCAAAATAGCAAATCAATATTTCATAAGGGTAATCAGCGTTCCATTTGTTACTATCAAGCACATCCCATGAACAACAGTGACATCTGCATATTGCTCTTATTTTTTTTTTTCTCCTTTCTTTTTTTTCTTTTTTCCCCTTTCTAAATAAAAATATAGTACGCAAACATGCCATCTGTTTTCCCATTATTCTGCACAACTCAGTCATCTTTGAAGTTTGTCTCTAAATTAAGCAGGGTGTACCTACAAGTAAATTAGAGGATTGTAAACATAATACAATTAAAATGACGATGATACCATAGTATCACTTTAAAAGAGCCAAGTCCATTTTAGTTTTCATTTTCTCTCCCTCCATCCCCACCCTTAAACAACACCGTATGTTAGGTTTTTGCAGTCCAACCATTCTTGTGTAAACAATTAACGAAGTGTTCATCTTCATCACCATGACCAATCAAAACTCAATGTCAAGCTTTAGTTTAGTTGGACTCTGCCATTGGACCATACAGCTAATCCTAAAAAATACTAAAGGTTTCAGTATCCAACTTGCAAGAATTATTGGAAACATCGAAGTCATATTTCACCTTTGAGAAATGAAAGAGTAAAAATGTAAAATTCAAGCGGTTCAATTCAAGTAATGAAACAGGAAATGCTGTAATTCACTAATAACTAACCTCCTTATCCAGCCAGTGCATTCGAGGAACAAATCCCACCATTGTGGAAGGTGCACTTTGCCAGACAGAGAAAGCAAAATCTAGAGTAGAGCATGGAACAATCACATTATCATCAACTGAGAAAATTGCGTCAGTCTTGAGGTCCTTAATTGGCCTAAACCTGCTGTTTGACTCATAATCTGCACTGATGTCAAATCTAAAGTTTTGTTTGTGAGCTTTCTGAGACTTCGAAACCACAATCTTATTAAGATATGTTTTCAGCCTCTCAGATGGTTGCTCACTTTCAGTCCACACCACATGCATTGCATCGGCACTTCGACAGGATGCATAATGAGCAACAGTTTGTTTCAGAAGAGATTTTTGCCTCCAAGTGTTTATAAGCACAGTATAGCTAGCCCTGAATCATGAATTAAATCAGTTGTATCAGCAGATCCAGCTCAAATTATGAAACAAAAAAATCAAACTCCACAACTATAATCCTACTGGGAGCAAGAACCACAATGTCATTACATGCAAGGAAAAACCACTACAAGAAAATACAAGTGTGGGCTTTATCAATTTTCAAACACTTTTAGTTTTAAAACAATCAAAGACAACCGACTTTCAAACCCAATGCAACGTGACTCAGGCTTGAGTTAGAATCACAATAAAATATTCGAACAAGTGTGTATGAGGGTAATTCACTTCTATAAACCTTTACAGTGTCTTTGGATGGAGAATTTCTAAAGGGTAATTCACTTCTATAAATAATTTAAAATGTTTTTTCAAAAAATATATTGTTTGAACAGAATGTTTTGAAAAAAATTGGAATTTTAGGAATATATAATATATTAATTTTATCAATTTAATTAATTAAAATCAGAGAATTTCAAATTTCACCTGAAAATTAAGAATTTAAAATTATGCATACTATTACTTCTCCTAAATCGATTATTCTTTTCTTCATATTCTTTCTTCGGCTCAATCTCAGTTGGGATGTCACAAACTTTACTTTGGTCAGGATACTGTTAGCTCGACATCACTTTTTGACAAATGTCTACCAGAGTTTCTTTTAGGTTAATATGAATCATGTTTATTTTTGGTTGCCAACAGCCAAGTTATTTTTTTGCCAATGTTATTTCCCAACAAATGTTAGTTAGAAATTTCTTTGTTACCATCAAGGTTGTTTTGGTTGTTTTCAAGCTAATGCTAAACATGATTTTTTTTTGGGTAGTGTTAATTAGGATTATGTTACAGATAATGTTAGTCAAGGTTATTTTTCAACCAACTTGAATAGAAGTTATTCTCGGTTGACATTGTTGGGATTTTTTATTTGCAGAAGTCAAGTTTAATTGTTGGAATTATTTATTTGAGAAGTAAGTCAAGTTTACTTCTTGGTTACCGTTTGTCAACATTTTCGGTGGATGTTAGCCAAATTTTTCTGGTTGAATTGTAGTGATTATTTTTTGTCGATCTCTGTACAATTTTTTTTATCCACGTCACTAGTGTTATATAGTGATAATTTTTGTATTTGGTAGTAAGTGAAATACTCTTTCCAAACAAGTAAACTACAATTTAATAAATGTTAATTATTTTATCCAAACACAACATCTGAAAAATTAAATAATTTGAAATGTAAACAATTCAAATTTAATGAATTTAAATTTCTTCGCAATTGTAAAATTATCTACCCAATCACAAGGTTAGTGAAAAATAATAAGAATAAAAAATGAAATGAAGTTTTTCATAAGTTAAAATTACTTTTATACATAAGTCAATCCAGTTCAAGAAGAAGTTAATTTCAATTTTTCTTTCCAAAAGTGCTTAGGAAGAACTTTTTCTCTCAAACAATTACAAATCTATAATGTGTTAGGGAATCAATCTACCATCATGACTATCCTTAGATAGGAATCTCAAAATCCTTTGCTAACACATATCATGGTGAAAAAAACAACCTAAAACATCATAAAGCACCTTTTACTTAGAGAATTTGTCCAAACGATGCCATCTAATTGCAAGATTAAGTAACGGGAACTCTATTTTAAAGCAAAGAATACATATAACAAAACTGTTTTCTTTTTCTTTTAAATCCAAACCAAACTGATCATGTTAAAACTACTTTTCATTTCTGAACAAAAACTCTAATTATAATGGATCATGATAATAAATAATCCATTATATATATATATATATATATATATATATATATATAATTAGTGAAATAATTTAATTACCACAACCATTCTAAATCAACCCTAAAAAGAACAGATCCATCAGAATAAAATAAAATTGCAGAGAAGAAAAACAGATCTAATATTTTTATACCTTGAAGTAACCGAAGAAGGGTTGTGAAGGTGCCAACCCATCCACGAACTGAGTCTGGCGGTGATCAAAACGACGGCGGAGAGAGCAAACAGCGCTAAGAAGAGCTTGAACTTGGCGGCACTGAGGAA